ATAAAACTTCATTATTGTGTCGTGTCGCTTACGTGCGATGATGGCAATAGAATGCCGTTAACATCTGGCAGTCGCATCAGCGGCAATGATACCGCAAAATAGCAGCAGCAACGGCAGCAACGTGCAACACGGCGAGGGCCAACAACAAAAGCAATATATCATGAGTCCAGCTTTTAGCAAGCTTTTCATAATCAGTGATGCATTGCCAACAGCCAGCAGCTGACAACCATGAAGAGCAGTACACTCGGCGAAAACTTTACTGTAATGAGTTATTTACTGATAGGGATTTAATTTTTAATTGCCATGGACTAACATAGAGAATATATCCCTATTAAATCCAACTAAAATTTTCCTATTGTTAAAAATGATTAATATTTACATGTAGTAAATCCAAAAAAGACATAAGTCAGAGATGCTTTATTGTTAAATACATTGATTGACCTATTATTCCATTAAATGAATTGATCCATATCACCCAATCGATTTTATTTTTTAGTCGTGTAAAAGGGCGCGAAAAATGACAGCTATGGGGCTAGCATGACATTGTTGTGACTCACGGTCTTTGCTCTTGTTGTTATTGCTGCTGACATAAATCCATATTTTGTACAGCAAATTTCACGATTGGCCGGCAACAACAACCAAGGCAAATCGTAGGTGGAGAACCAGGGAAATTGCTAAAAATTTCCAATTAACTTTAAAGTTGAAGGAGTGCCAAGAAGAAATGCTGACCGTGGTGAATGACAATGACACCGTCGTGTGCCGTGTGCCTTGCAGCATAAATCCCATTTGAAGATGACAAAATATTCAGGGAATCCCCGTTCGCCGTCTCCCTCTACGCTCTAGCCGTCTCGCTTGCACCACGAGGAGTGCCATCTTTGTCCCGCCCTGTGTCCATCATTCTTCATTTAGTGACCCGACACGAGCGTAGGATGTCAGCAGCTGTTGGCTCTGGCTCTAGCATCATCATCATCATCGATGTGGCTCCATTTTCAGCACCTTCCCGCCCACTTCTGAAGGGGAGTAGGTGGCTCAGTGAGTGGTGGTGCGGCAGTGATGTCATTGGAAAAGAGACGGGGATAGGTGGACGTGTGCAACGCATGCGGAAAACAAACAATGCGCGACAGGCGGACAAACAAACATTCAACTGACAGCAGAAATGCGCCACTGAGACAGATGAATGGTGATGCAGGGGTGGGGCTTTTAGAGGGGTGGCGCAAACCAGCAGCACTAGCCCCTGGAACGAAGTCAACAGTCAAACGGAGCTTGCGGTTCCAGGACATTGCACCCTGCGGTATTTGCTTTCCATTTTTCGCCTTTAAAGTGTTGCCTACATTACAGCTGAAAGGAGTATAGTCAGAGATGGAAATAAGTAAATAAATAAAATCCCACATTCATCTAAATTGAAAAAAATATCAACAGCACTCACACAGGGAAGGAAGCAGTTGAAAGAGTGGAAATGCAAGGAGGATACAAATAAGACAATAGATGCCCACTTTTATATGAGTAAAGGAATTATTTAGTTGTTAAATTTAATCTACTGACTAAATGAAAAAATGTAATAGCTTAATTAATATTTTATGATTTAATTTGCAACCCAGTGAAGGAGTCGTTTCCGACTACAAGATTTATTTATATTCTTCATCAACAGTCTGTCCGTTTTCGTCCGTTTGTTCGGAAACTAGACACTTAATCTTAAAGCTCCGGGATGAAACTTTTCCAAAAGCAAAATTAAAAAAGTAAGTAAGTAAAATGGGATTAGTAAATGATCTAACTTATCGTTTGATAGAAAAATTAAAACAAAAATAATGGATAATATGCACAAAATAATGTTATTTAAAAAACTGCTCAAACAAATCACATAGCTGTCATAGGAACTATGAGTCTTTTTATGTAATCATTTTCCGAGTTCATATGGTTTCTGTAATATAATTTTCTTTAAATTAGTTGCAACGCTATTTTAGTCTTGACATGCCGAAGCTAGCTTTCTTTCTTGTGTTAAATTCCTTGGGGTAATAGATAGCAGTGGCAGATATAGGATTTTCTTGTGGAGGTGATATCAAAACTTTTTTTTTTTGCTTTCTTTTTGAATATCAAAATTCCTTTGATTTTTCACCCGAGTGGGGGGTGATATATCACCCATATCACCCCGTGGATCCGCGCATAATAGATATTGTTTAATTTGTGTCAACAAAAGTAAAAAAAAATTAATTTATTAAAAAATTATAATTTACTATATTAAAAACTTGAAACTTGAACACTTTTCGAAGAGGCGAAGTTAGCTTCCATTCTTGTTTTGAAATAGCTTGGGGTAATAGATATTGTTTAATTTGTATCAACAATTGTAATTGTATTATAAACGTGAGACTTGAATACTTTCGCAAATGTAATAACTGTAATCAACTTAACTGTAAATGCCATCAAGACTTTAGAAGAGGACTAAACGCCAGCTCTTCAATTGCGATTAGAAACCCCTTTTTCGGAATATCTAAAAAAACGCCTCTGGCCGTAAAGTATTCACTTTGAGCGACTGCAACAATTTAAATCCAACACATCATCCCAGGCAGCTTTTACAGGCTGCCTCCTCTAATTACTTAATTACGTGCTCCGCCATCGCTGGGAAGCCCGATGTAGTAGTGGTAGTGGGTTTCGGGGTGGGATTCCGGAGGGGGGATTGCAGGCCGGACAGCAGAGAAGCCAGCAGGAGCCACCGAAAAAGCCGCACTGGTTACACCTGTGGCCAGACTAATCTATCATGTGCCATAAAGCGCTAAACGGGATGCGAGGAGCCGGCTGCAACAGGAGAGCCATAGGAGCTGTCTCTTTAGTTTTCCGCCATTCTCGGCCATTTCCATCCTGCTCTTCCCCTTTTACCCTTTCCGCTTTTCCTCCTTTTTGCCGTGTTGATAAGCCGCATTGTGTCCGGTGAGTTGCGCACGCGGCTTTTGTGGTCGAGCGGACGGTGCAGCGCTAGAAATGTTTATGACTCCGCAGGGATCCCGAGCTCAGTGTTTGCCAGCGCGGCGTGTGAGGTGTATCTTTGAGTGGGATAATACACAGCAAGAAATAAACATACATTCTGAGCTATCATTTTTAATGAGAACAATAAGTCATTGATAGCCTGCTCTTAATGAAATATTTATTTTGCTTACCAACACCCAAAAAAAAATCGAAAATGTTAAACATTGTATTTAAAATATACCAGATTAACAATAATAAAGTGGTATTGACCTAATATTAAATAATACAAGTTCTATACTCAGTGAATAATTTTATATGAAATATTATAAAGTAAATGTTTTTTAGTTTCATTTCTATACTGAAAGTTTCAATTTAATACTTTTGAAAGTATCAATTTAATTATAATCTTATTGATGCAATGTTGAATTCATGTAACAATATTTTCGTTTTTATGAATTTTTTTAGGTAAATTTGTCTGATTTTTACGCATATTATAAATTTTTGTTCTGACAAATTCTACTCATCAACATTTTAATTTCTAAATTTTAGTGAAAGTTATTATGCCTTGTAAAACTTTTATCGCTTACCACTATTATTGTAATTTATTTATATTCTTAAAATCAATTGTATACAATTAAGCCGCCAACGAATTAAAACAAAATAAATTGGTAAATATAGGTAATTCAGTTTCGGCTTTAACCCCTTAACATATTTAGTGGCTTAAAAAGTATTTTCTTTCAGCGTACTTATGTTCCTCAGTTTAAGAATAGGTGTGGCAGTGCGCGTTTCAGTATGTGGGTGTGACTGCCGTGGCGCAGTTGTTATTGGCCAAACGCGTTGGCCATGTTGATCCCTAACGAAGCGCCTAAAAGCCTTTTGTGCCTTCTGTCCGTGGAATGATGAAACAGTGGAAACTAAAGGCCGGAAGATGTTGGTCAGTCCGGTAAAGACTGTTTTGCGAGTTAAACCGAATTACAGTTTATTAAAAAACTCAGTTTATCTGCTTAAAAAAAATTGTTATTTATGAAACTACGTGAATAAATATTTATTTGTAGGATTTTTGTAATCTCTGTTAAACAATTGTTTTGGACCAGACTATTTAGCCTGCGGCCTTTAAGCATGCAATGAAATATGCTGAATATGTATTTGGCATGAAAAACTACTGCATGCTTTTGGGCGCAACAATTTTTCACTCTGATAAAATAAAAGGGGGGGAGGGAGGACTTTTTAATAAACTATTTTGCAGCGTAGACAGCTGGAACTTTCTTTCTTGGTGACTTGCCAGTAGCCGAAAATTTCTCCTTTTACACACACATATTTGCAGATAGAAATCTGATTTTCTTTCTGGGGCACAGAATGAAATTGTCAACATAATTCGCAGTGAGCCATGAATTTTTTGCCGCCGACAGACAAAAACAAATGCCAAATCGAAAAAATTATTCACCCGAAAGAAGGAATGCCCATAACCTTTTTGTGTGCGACAACAAAATAAAATTTGTTGTAAGCGTCAATAATGCAAATTGATAAGGCACAGAGCAAAATATTCCTCTGGGCAGGTCTCACAAAAACCAATTGAGAAAATGGCTGTTGGGTAAAATATTAAAAAAAGGAAACCTGATTGTCAGAATTGAATTGAATTGTGAAGCAGAAATCGAAGGAGGCAAGGGTTGTAAAAACAAAAAATTAATGGGAATAATTGAAAAAACAAATACATTTTTGAGAATTAGATTACGCTCTGGAAATGCTCTATTAGTTATGTAAGAAATAAAAGAATTTAAAAAATTATACAATTCTATTATTTATTTTAAAAAATAACAAAAACCGCTGAATAAATATTTGATCCAATAAAAGAAACAATTTTAAAAGCTTTATTACTTTGAACGAAAATAAACTTCGAAACAAACGCTTAATACCTTTATTAAGAGTAATCAATTGTTGATTGTCTCAGTTTGCGAGAGAGCAGAATAAATTGTATAAAAGGAAACAATCAAAACAATGCGGCCCCGAAAAATAATTGAAAAAGAAAGATACCACAAGCGATGTAGGTGCCTTAATTAATTTAAAATCAACAAAAACATAAATATACATTATATTTCCGATGTAAATTTCGTGAACATTTTCCATCGCCCACATTTTTAATTTTTCCTTTGCTTCGGTTTGTGCACAGTATAATTTTTGGTGCCCACAACTGGCCGATGTGAAGGTGTCCTTGCACCTCTTGTGGTGGCCAGGACTCAAAACGAAACTCAGGAAGTCCGAGCATGCCTACGCATGTACAACAAATATCAGCGGTTAGGAATCAGATGTTACCCGCTGCCTGTGGGGCTGTGGTGCCCAGTTCAATGGGATAGGCTACGAATGCCTTCAGGGTTCGGGCTGCAGCCGACGGAAGGGTTTCCCTGGACCTCAACTGCTGCTGGTGCTGCAAAATGTGCTGCTGCTGATGGAGCGGCATGCCTGGCGCAATCCGGTGTTGATCGCTGAAGAACGGATGCTTCAAGGCCTCCTCGGCGGTTATGCGCTTCTGGGGATTAACTTCCAGAAGGCGGGACAGCAAATCGTAGGCGTTGGCGGGAAATATATCCAGCCCATCGTACCTCTCCAAATTGTGCCCACTGTTGCTGCATAGGCAATTAAAGGTGGGCTGCTCACAACTTCGGCACATTTCGATGCTGCCATCTGGCTTTCGATACTTGCGGTGCATTTCGGGGGCCAGAAAAAAATCGGCATGCCGAAATCTCATGCACACCCGCCGTAAATCCAGTGTGTTCACCTTTTGGGCCAGCAAAATCAGTCTATCCAGCATGAAGGCTGTTTTTCGCACTGGCATATCCCCAAACAAATTGATTATTTCCGCCAGAGCACCGCAATCGTGGGGAGCCTTGAAGAATGGGTGTAGAGCCGAGAGAAGCGAGAGCATTATAACGCCAGCAGCCCAGATGTCCACCGCCGTGGATTGCTGGGGATATCGGAGCAGCACCTCTGGTGGCCTATAGCCCGGTGTTCCGGCTCGAGAGGCGTGCATTTCCTTCTTCGAGGTGTTCGTGGAAACCACGTAGTTATTGGGATCCGCACTCGGGTTCATCGACCGCAGGCGATTGAGCAACCGCATGGTGTCGGCCCTCTGATTGGCCACATCTCTTTTGGTCAGTTGTCCACCAGCCTGTTCCCGCAGTCTCTGAAGACTTGGAGGTCCTGGCAGGGCATGATCAACACCACCTCCGCCACCCAGAGCCCGCATCCTTCGACTGGTCATGTAGTCCTCGGCCTCGGCCTGAGCTGAGTTGCCATCTGTCAGCATAAGGTTCCTGCCGCTTTCCATGTCCCGCAGGAAACTGAAGGCCTCCTTGGAACAGAGGTCATTGGTCTGTATGACACTGCCATCGTCGGCGATCCGTTGAGCCAAACCGAAGTCGCAGAGTAAAAACTTTCCAGTTCTTCGGTTATACAGAATGTTGCTCGGCTTGACGTCCCGGTGAATTACATTGTATTTATGGACATGCCGCAGGGCAATGAGCAGGTTCCGCAAATAGTCGCGAACCTCTTGGAGACTCAGACTCCTGTAGATGTCGTGGAATCGGTCATGGGTCATATAGGGCATGACAAAGGCCACGTTCTCATTGTACCTGATGCAGCAATTAATTCCAATGACATTGTCCACTCCGCCAATGCGAAACATGCACTCCAACTCCCTGAGGATCCTCTCAGGATGATTGGTGGGGTTATGGTGTTTAATGGCAAAGCGCCTTCTCTGGGTTTCCACAAGACATCGTTCACGCTGCAGGGTTCCCAGGAGAACTGTGCTGAAGGTTCCACTTCCGATGCGGCAATGCACATCGAAGATTTTGTGTATTTCCGGAATGCTCTCCTGCAACTCCTTCAAGGCCTCTTCGTTCTTATCGACGGATTGCATATTTTTTGCCTGTATGGCGGATAATTCTTTCAGGGCATTTTGACGGTTGATTTTGGCCAGTTTCTCATTGAGATCGACCGTGGCCTTGGGCGCCTGTTGAGTTAGGACGTGCTGTTGCTGAAAATGATGATGAATCCCCGAGACGGAGGTCTGAATCCCTGAAGCCACAATACCCTGCCTGTCGTTATAATACCGATTTTGGTGATAACTAGTCGCGGAGCTCAGTCTGGCTGATTCTGCATTCGCGAGTACTCCGCTCATATTGGTCGCAGATTTTTCCAAGGCTCCCATTCTAATGGCGTAAAGGGATTTGGTCGACGTCTGCTGATGGCGATGATGATGTGTGTCCTTCCTGTCCATTTTCTTAATGGGAATTTAAGTAAATAGTTGCGCCACCCATCAACAGCCTAGGCTTAACAAACAGTACCCAATTTCTTCTTTTTTTCAACTTTTCTAAAAGGTTTGAGCTTTAATTTCTAGGTCTGTTTCCGGGGTCAAGCGGTTTCAACCTGGCGCGGTTAACCGCGGTGTAAACACAATAATTTCGAATGAATTCGGGGGTGTTTGTGTTCGAATTTTGTGCTAGAAAAATTACCAGTTACTAAATAGAGACTATGTATTTGTGTTTTTTTCGAATCATATTTTGACAACTATAGCAATGCTCTTGATATAGTGAAATATATTAGTTTGCCTAAAAGTTTCTAAGGCCTACGGATGTTGAATAAATCTTTTAATACTTTTAGCTAATTATAAACTTTTAAATAAATAAAGAGATCTATGTAAAAAACACGCTTTGAATGTCAATAATTAAAAACTCGTTGGAAACTTTAAGAAATTTACCCATACGGGTTCTTTACACACCTCCAACATTTCCAGTCTCATATATTTATGGCACACGACTCCCTTACAACCTGTTCATATTTCGGCATTCCCCCACTTCATATATACCCAGGTTTATATGGAAAAAGTTCCTCGGAAACCTATACCAGATGTTGCCTTTGTTGAGTTTGATTGCCTGTACGGTGTCGCCACCTAGCGGCGACTATTCCTCGCCGTCGTTTTTGTTGCTGTTTTGGTGCATGCAATTTACCGTTGCAGAGCTCGACCCTAAAAATGTCCACCCCCTCTAGTCGAAATTTCGCCCATCCGAAAAAAGACGGTGTCAACATCAGCTGCCTGTCCACTTGTTTTTCACTTGATGCTCGAAGTTTTCCCGCGGCAACAGCTGACATTGTGGACGTAACTAAACTACCTCTAGATCCCCTCCCCCTTTATAACACTATAGATCTATCCTAAAATCCCCTTCTACTTTTTACCTGCTACACATTTTCAACAACAAGGTTTTATGGTACCTATATCATTTTACGTTACCAAAACAAAAGTTTGGCCAATTATATATATATAATTTTGTTTTATTAAAATATTTTACAAGAGTCAATGCCAAAAATTGTTTTTTCTATGCCATTATTTTTTCATTAAAAATAAATTTTTATTCATTTTTTAGTTATTTTTTTAGCTATTACAATTAAAGTTATAGGTAGGGTTGTCATTATCGTGATATTTTCGTACAATTCACACTTAACTAATGGATTATAACTATAAAATGTAACACTTTCTAGAACTAATGAATTTCATCTATAAAAGCCACATCAAATTAATATATAAGCCAATTTTAAGATCTGCAGCATTTCCGGATCTATTAACATACATGCTAAGCTCTTGGTAATTTTATTTATTTTATCTTTATAAACATTAACCTTTGGTCATCTAAGTAGTTGTGACTGCGTGAAGAGTAAAACAATTCTTTAATTAGCGTAAAAATTGAAAATTTTGCGGTTTTATTTTGCATAAAAATCGTGTATAAACCGCAATCTTTAGCACATATCAGTCAAAACAACATGAGCCTTCCAAACGTTCTTTTTTTGCTTGGTGAGTTTTTAAGAACATATCATTGAAAGTACTATGCTAAAATAATTATTTTTTTAGCCATCATAGTAGAGGGTTGTAATTCGCCCTTATGTAAGAGTCATATTAAGTTTGACCAGACTGGATAAAGTTGGTTTTACCAGTGTACTCACTGCCGATTAAATTTGTGTAAATCAATTGCGGCGTTGGCAGCTAAAATGGACTCTTTAGAAAGTCATTTGGCTGTCGAAAATATAAATGGGAATTGAATGTCTTCAGTCATTACGAAAGTTTTGGGAACAGTAGAAGGTACTGCGCCTGGCCCGAAGTAATTGCCCAACAAGGCAAACTGGTTAACTGGCATTTAAGAGCAGGAATTACAATTACCCAATGCTTTCCTCGTCGCTGTTTTCCTTTGGATTTTCCTCGCTCTTCGACCCACGCTTTTCCGGCCCCAGAACCTCCTGTTTATTCATTGCCGGCAGTCAAGTGCAACTGGCCTTTTCGAAGTTTGTGCAAAACTATTGTCAATTGCGCCCGGGCCCAAAGAGAGTTGGAGAGTCGGAGATTCGGCGTTGGCCCCGGGAATTCTCGAATGGCCAAAACACAATGCAGAACAACACTTGGCTGCTTCCCCTACTTCCCCTACTTCCCCTACTTCCGCCCACTGAATGGTGAATTCAGGGGGGTGTGAATCCCATCGCCTACCGACAACAACTTCTTCATCAAGCGAAACTCCCTTTGACCGAATTTCCTTGGCGCCTTCCGTTGTGGCAAGCGCCAAACGGAAACTTTTCCAGCCAAGTCAGTTGGGATTAGCCTTGATGGCTAGGGGGAGCAGAGGGCGAAGGACTTTCGCCGGCATCCAGGTTAGACACTCGTTCGGTGGCAAACTGCAAATTAAGCTCGACAAAACGATTTGCTTAGATTGCCGTGTACAAATAGGTTTCGGGTTTTCTGATGTTGCAAATGCCTCGGTAATGAGACTGTTTCGAACAAAATTGTTCGGTACAAGGAGAAGCTATTCATGTTTGGACTTTTTAAATGTCTTAATAATATTCTTAATAGAAAAATGTATTATCTTATCCAGGGAATAAACCAAAATCGAAACCGATTCCCAATAGAAACCCGGAACCGTTACCGATATTAAAATAAAAGTATAATTTCGAACCGTTTACCGTATTGCTGGTACCGGTACGGTTTTGGTACTCATTTGGGGCTGTCCATATATTACGTAATCACCTAGGGGGGGGGAATGATTATGTTTGATTACATGGGGAGGGGGGGTCTTGCACAATGATTACGTAATCATTTTATATAAATTTTTTTATTTAAAGAATTTATTTAAAAACTTTTTTCCTTTAATTATATCTACAAACTTTGATAGGAAAGCAGAGAAAAAATTTGTTTAGTGGCTGGGCGGCGAAAAAGAAAATGTTTAGTGGTTCAATCACACGAAGGAAGCGAAGACCTGGAATGGCTTGACGAAGAGTATGTTGGAGATAATTTCAGCGTAGACGAACCGAATGTGTCATACCAAACTCCATTTATAAACAATATATAAGATTGGGTTGCATCTCCGTTTGAATCCACAGATTAAAACAAAAAAAATTTTATTCTTGGGATTACGTAATCATTGGGGGGGGGGTGTTTATTGAATGATTACGTTTGATCACCAGGGGGGAGGGGGTCAAAAATCACCAAAAACGTGATTACGTAATATATGGACAGCCCCTTTACTAAATTCGTTAAAAACCCTGAATTAAAAATTCTTATATGTATGGATCAGTATGTACTATAAATCAAAATGTCTCTCTTTTAACTTTTAATAAAAAGCTTAAAGTATTCCTTTCCCTGTCGCTGCTGTCATATTTCACTTGACTAAATATTCGATTTTTTTTTTACTTGCCTCCTCTTCAATGCAGACGAAGCAGCACTCAAAAAAAGGAAATCGAGTGTACGTTTTTATAGAATAAAATAAAATTATACAATTTCAGTTTGGATTGTCACAAAATTATTCCTCGTAGATCAATATCTTTAAAATGTAAGCATGATTATAAAAATAGGTTTAGAGAAAAGCGCAATCGACATGTGTCACATCAGTGCAAATAACCTGAAAAACTTTCAAAGCTTATATCTTTTATTTAAAGTATTAAATCGATCGATTTCAAATTTTAACAGTGTATTCTAGACATACTGAAAGTTAAAAAAAAGTAATATTCCGTTAGCCAATTATTTTACTTTTTCTTAATTAATGCTGACTATCAGAATGACACATCATTGGATTGCATCTAGCTTTCCGTGGTGAATGCTTTGTCGATGCAAATATTATGATAACTGGAAAAGAAGAATTATGGTTTAGAATTTTTTAGCAGTTATTAATATTTAAAAGAAGTTACCTATAATATTCCAGACGCTCGAAAAAATCATTGCTATCGGACCTTGGGGATGGATAGTATTTAATTTGTTGCGGACTGGTTGAGTATTTTTAAAGTTTCGCATCATTAGTGCCAGTTAATGTATTATGTATGGTTCTGCGTATCAAATAATTGATCTTGATCTTTGATCTTTCCATACATAATGTTTACAACAATATGTTATACCAAAGTGTCATTTACATGTTAAAACTAGAAATATCTTTTATGAACCCTTTAAATATATATTTTTTTAAATTTAAAAATATTAATGTTATGTTTTATACGAATTTTTAGCTGTGTTTAGCTTAAATTTGATTTTAATATTGATACAATTTAAAGCCTCTTTTTTTTAGTGCATCCCCACACCATTATCCCCGCAGTCGGGGCCTTTGTCTTGCAGTTCGGCCAAACAATTTCGCTTACCTCACTCGCAACACGTTGCGGTTAGCAGAGGCGCGCGTAGCGGGGGTTTGAAGTTTTGGAATGGAAACTATTGGGGTGGATATGGGGGTTTAGGCACTCGAAATCTTGTATGGGCCAAACACCCGTCGCGTTGCTTGTTGATTGTTTTGCCATTTTGCGGTTGCAATTGATGGCACAGGTGGTGGAGAATGTTGCCGGGCCTCGCAGTGCTCCTGCGAATTGGGGTGGGGAAATTCGGGGGGGCTAAATTCAGAAACTCAGCCAGTCTTAAAGCCCACAAAAGTCTCGTTTTGGCAACTGACGGCAGCCGGTTGTGCTCCTAACCGAAAAGGTAATTCCATGGAAAATGGCCAATAGCCAAGGCACTTCTTTGGCTTGCTTTTGAAGCACGTGTCTGGTTCTTTTGGGTCCCACTACCCTTTAGTAGATTTTGTCACTGCTAATGCTTCAGTCGAGTTCGTACTCTTGATTTCGATATTCGGCGCTGCCAGAAAATATATACAAATACCTTTTAATAAATGAAATGTTACTAGAGCTTGAAAATTATCGATGTCAGTATCGATATTATCGATACTTCTGATATTTTTCAAACATCGATGTTTATCTATAACATCGATGTTTTTCTGACGTTTTATTAGAGAGAAACGAACAGATTTCACTCTTTAATTTTGAGGACCAAAATTACTTTAAATACAAAATCACTTAAAGTAGGGACAAATTACCATACAAGAACCGCGAGTTCTTGGTACTTTATTCTTCTTTGGTCCCATAGATATTATGAAATACTTAAAAGTAGGCGAAAAGGGCATAGGTTAGGCAAAAAATGGCATATAAAAGAATCGCGAGTTCTTGGGAAGAGGAGGAACTTTGGTTTTTTTAGTACCAAAAACAAAATCTTGGTTGCAGCTACCGACCTTCTGTCCGCTATTAAAAAATCTCGAGAAACCGCGAATTCATAGCCTTTGATAAGAATTGGTCGCTTTTCGAAGATCGTTTGAGCGATTTGGACTCAAGGATCCAAAAAAAAACAACCGCGAATTCTTCAGAAGAGGAGGAATTTTTACTTCTTTATGGTATAGTATCAATTAAAGTAGGGGAAAATAACCATAGGTTGTGGCATAAAATCTAAAATGAAAGTACCGCGATTTCTTGGGGAAAAGAGGAACTCTCGTTCTTTTAATACCAACAACAAACCAAACGATGACCGTTTGAGCAATTTTGGCAAAGGATCAAAAAAAAAAAAGCAACCGGCAATTCTTCAGAAGAGGAAGAATTTGTTCTTCTTTAGTACCAAAAAATGGGATGGAACAAAGGTTTGTTCTATTATTTTACATAAGTATTTCCTCATAAGATATTTTAAAAAAAATTCTTAAGAAGCCGTGAATGTCTTTGACTAAGAATTGGTGTCGTTCTAGACATGTGACGCAACTCAACTCAATGATCAATAATAAATAAACCACGGGTTCTTAAGAGGAGGATCCTTTAGTCTGAAATTCAGGGAACGAAAATAACTGTTATTGTAAATTTTTCATACAAAAAAATCACGCACTTAGAAGGGTCCTAAAAATTTTTTAAATACACCACAATTTTTATTAGCCATTGTAGTTTACAAATCCGTAATGATTTTTATTTTTTGATTTTTATAATAAAACTCAAAAAATAACTGTTATTTTTTGATTTTTATGAATAACAGTTATTCCCTTGACATTTTTGAAAAAATGAAATAATTAAAAAAAACATGATACCCGTGCTTTTTATAACTTACTAAAAATTTGTTAAAAAAGGCAACCGCGCATATTTTATACCAATATTTTTTTAAAATTTTGTTTACCCACAAAATCGCCATAAATCAAGTTTGAGTTTTATTTTTGATCACGACGAATAACTGTTATTGGTCAACTTTTATTATAAAACTCAAAAAATAACAGTTATTCTTTGAGTTTTACTTTACAAATCAGAAAATAACTGTTAAAGTGTGATTTTTAAAATAAAACTTATAACAGTTACGTTCCCTGCTGAAATTGCATTTTAATATTGAAAACCGGAAATTTAAATTAAATAAATTAACCGCGATTTTTTCTAATAATAATATTAATAATAATGCAAGTGTATTATGCATGTATATAATAATAATACGTGGTATTAACGATCATAATAATAACGATTTTTTCTAATAATAATATTAATAATAATGCAAGTGTATTATGCATGTATATAATAATAATACGTGGTATTAACAGAATTGTTAAGTCATTTCGCGGTATTAGATAAACATTAGATTAAATCATGAAATGAATAAAATTGTAAGCAATGAAGTAAAAGAATGTAAACACATAATGTTAAGATCAGAACTTATGTTAAGCTTTCCTCTCTTGTATTTGCACATGCAGCCGCTGAGCTCGGCAAAGCTCCATGCAGATGAGAAGTTCATTAAAGCCAGTGAAGGCAGTTGAAATTTTACACTCTATACATCCACACCGTGTCCCTCATTTTCGTGGCTGTTTCCTGACGGAGACAGATTAATAATAGTTGTTAATTTATGACTATTCATTTTGGCGCCCCCGGGTGGACACACGGATTCCTTGGATTTTGGATTAGAGTTGTTAATTGGAATTAACATAATACATAGTTTCAAACAAGTGAAACACATGGGTTTCTGTAACTGCACACGGCAGCTCGCCAGTACTCAATACCAGGTAACATATTGCAGTGTTATTTGAGCAAATAATCAATTGAAATTCTGTTGCTTATTATAATAAACATTAAACTTGTTCATTTAAATTTTGGCATATAAGTGAAATTTTGGTGGAAAAATACCCGTACACAGTTGCATAGCTGTATATAATTGGCGGAGCACATGTCTACACACACATGTACCAGTCCGAAACGGTTATCTTCAATTCCTCTTTAAGAGCGGTAAACTCGTTAGTTAGAAGTAGTACAGTTCTGTGGCCGGCTCATATGTATTGAGCATTACGAGAGTAGTTCAATAAGTTTGTCGTTTTCAAATTTACCATGCCTCCTAAAAAACGAAGTGGTAATAACTCTTCCTTTGTACAAGATGACGATGAATTGGAACTTCTTCAACAGCGAGACATTCTTGTCACCAAGATAACGCGAATTAAAGTATCAATCACTCAAGGAACTCTAGTAAAAGACCCACTACAGATAGAGTGTCGACTAGATGTACTAAACGCTTACGTGGAAAAGGCATTTAATATACAGTGGTCATTAGACAAAATTAATCCGGAGTTGGCATCCAGTGAAGAGCTGGAAGATTTATGTGTTACTACTCGGGCTCTTCTTCAATCTCTTAGAAGCTCACATCAACCACAAGATTTTAAAGACAACACACTAAATACAACTGGTGGACATCATAGACAGCTACCGCAAATGAAGCTGCCAAAATTTAGTGGAGTCTATTCAGAGTACAAAAACTTTATTGGGTTGTTCGAAACTCTTGTGCATGATGATGATCAACTATCAAACGTAGAGAAATTCAATCATTTGCTTGGTAAAGGCATTCCAGGTAACGGATAGTAATTATACAAAGGCTCTCGCTGCGTTAAAACGTGTATATGATAATGAGTGCTTAATATTTTTTGAAGGTGTTTCAAGGCTATTTGATTTATCTTGCATACCCAGTCCGTCTGCTTCATCGTTGAGAACTTTGATTGACAATGCTAGGGCAATTTATGAATCATTGTTGTCTGTTGGTGACGACAGTAAAATTGTTAACGTCATGTTGATCCATATAGTCATGTCAAAGGTAGACGCAGGAACGCGAGCTAGATGGGAAGAGGGGCTTGATTACTCTAAAATTCCCACATGGAAAGATTGTGAAGATGAGATGAATAAGCGGTATCAACATTTGTCAGTTGAAGAATCTTCATCGAATAAAGGGAAAACCAATAAGGCTTATCGAGATAACCGACCAAAGAAGAGTGGTACTACATTATTAGCAGTCAATCAAATGGAGCACTGTGTGTTTTGCAAGTCGCAGGAGCACGTGATAACTGCCTGTTCCTCATTTACTGCGCTTTCGGTTGCCAACCGCTTTAGATTCGCCAAGGGCTCGCGACTTTGTATTAACTGCCTTAAACGAGGGCATAACGTTTCATCTTGCAATTTATCACATTGCCGAGTCTGTAATAAGCCGCACAATAGTTTGCTGCATCGTTATATTTCCACTTCGACTCAGTCTATCGCACCACAACCGACTTTAGGTACCGCAACGAGTTCGAACCATGTTCCTGATGTGGCTGTGAATCATGCCCGGTCAGTAAACGCAGGACAGGTAGTGTTAGCCACAGCCTTAGTTAAAATAAAAGGACGCCTTGGGGAGTATCAAGTTGCTCGAGTTTTATTGGACTCAGGATCCCAGGTCAATTTCATAACTGAAAGTTTAGCCAACACTCTGAAACTGCACCGCATTAGAAAGCCGATCCGATTGTTTGGAATAGGGAAGTCAAACTCCTTAACTGAGACCTGTGTACAAACCTTAATATGCTCTCGCACCAGCAATTTCCAGATGGCAGCAGAATTATGCGTTTTGCCATCCATTTCGTCATATCAACCAGAAAAGGCAATTCGGAACTCGGAGTTAGGTATTCCACAGCACCTTTCGCTAGCTGATCCATTATTTTACAAACCCCAAAAGGTAGATTTACTATTGGG